GTTTGGGTCCAACATTAGTAAGTTTAGAGTTGTTGTACTCTAAATTTAACTCAACAGAGATCAGCATTCAAATGGAAGGCAAAAAATACAAGAAAAGTTATGAACATCAATGATACAAACTATTTGATCCAGAGCTCCTGTAATTTTGAGAGAGTTTAAGAATTTTGAGAGTAGCCTTGGTCTGATCATGATCATTGAAACCTCAGAGAGACAAAGAGCCTTCAAATGGTTGCTGCAGTAAAGGAGGGTCTAATACATCTCGCAAGAGAAAATTCTGAGATCAAGTGCACAAAAAATCAAAGTAAGATTATGTATGATATTATGTTTGATAAAGAAGCATTAAATAAAAGGAAATACAGAATACTGCAATTATTTAGGAATTACCCTCTTTTTTTTTGGCAAAATTCCGAAGTTTGAGGTTCGCTCTTAGTTACTTACCTTAAGGAAAACCAAAATTTTAAGTCTTTCAGACTGGATAGTTGACTGATAGTGGACCAAATGTAAATCGTTCCTTGATCTTGATATTTAATGCTGGTAAACTCATCTGAAGTCTGATGAAGGCGATCTCTACAGACTAGACAATTAATAAGAATGATAGCCCCAATGTTCCTTGGAGAACTAAGTGTTTGAGCTTTGGGTCAGGTACTGAAACAAGCTTAATTTTAAGACCTTTAAGCACCAATCTCTGTAGAACAGGCAGTTGCCGATCAAGTTTTCCAGCAATTGAATATCATTAGCTTCCCTGAGTTGGGCTGACCGATTTTCTGAAACCTTTATAAGCACAAAGAGTTCTGGTAATCCATATGACGGAGTTGCAAATGGGTCAGATGTTCACAGAACCATATGCAAGCCGTTAACTTATATAGTTTGCATTATTATTTGCAGTCAACCATACTCAAGAGTGAGTTCCCTGATACCGTTCTTCAAGATAATGTATCCAAGTCTGAAGATCGGAGTACTTTTCTAACTGGTGTTGCAAATCTTAAAAGTGTGTGTATTGCCACATGAGATAGCAAACATGATAACCATTATTCGACACCTCTTGTATTTGGACGAGTCCAAAGGGCACGGTTAGAGGCCACATCAAAGACCAGCTTTGAAAGGTTAACCCATTTATATCTCCACTGTCTACACAGATGCTTGTTCTCACAGCCTCCTCTGTAGACGCCCAAGATATTGTCCAAAATAGCCCATGCAATTCGCTAAGTCTTCGATTGTTGTAAGCTCACCTTTGAGCTGATCATGGTGGCTTTGCTCTTGAGTACTCATGGTATCTACACTTGTGAGTACCACATTTTTTCTAGATATGGACAGAGAACTATCCAAAGGAAATTCTCTTAGCAAGCATAAGGCCACATTTGACATAATCACAGCTTGAACTTACGAGAAAAAAAAAAACGGAAATCATAAATTTTTCAGTGGCATTCAAAGGCAATATATTCTTCAAAATTATTATTAATCCATTTGTCTTTTTGCAAGATATGAAAAGCATCCCCCCAGAGAAAACACCAGGGAACATGAATGAGATCCTAGCAATTACATATGATTTAGCTAGACAAAACAAAATTAGAAACTACATCTCTTTCACATCAAGTGTTGGAGGGTTTTTGTTAAAAATACTAACCCTAGAGACAAAACACTAATAATAATAATATAATTAAAAAAAAAAAAAAACCATATATAGGTGAAAACTGTTAAGATTATAGAGTCAAATTCATTCAAATTATATTGTATCAAAACATGTGTTTTTCTAAAATGTTTCTAGGATTGTGTTTTCTTTATGAATACAAGAATATATTGCATTAAGAATAAAATAAAAATTCTAAGAGATGATCCTATTAAGAATAGTATCTCATGCATTACCTATAAAATAGGTTAATTCTAGGTAATGAATACATAAAAGACAAGACCATAATAGAGAGTGAGACCCACTAAAGTAGGTTCAATAAGAAAGCCATTATTTTTATAGTGAAATTTCGCACGGTAAAATAGATGTAACTCTTATATGGTGAGTAGTCATTATAATCTTTGTTTGTGTATTGTTGATTATTTGTATTTTGTTCGCTATATTTTTGCTTTGTATATAAGATTTGCTAGCTTTTGATCAAATCCCACAACAAAAACTAACCCCCAATTTATCATGAGAAAACTCTTCCCCGTTATCTTTGGAAACACCCATATCACCCCATTTTTTTGAATTTAAACATTAAAGCTTAACTGTTTTGAGACAAAAAACCTCTGTTACAAGATTTCTCTTTCACGGTCTAAGTTATAGCACTTGAATTCGAAAGATGGGATAATATTGGGTGTTTTCGAAACTAAAAGCATAAATTGTCTTTGTAGATAGATTGGTGGTAAAAATGTCATTCAACCTTTATTTGTATATTTGTATACGAAAATGATTGGGATGCCGAAGCGTTATTCGCTATGGAGGAAGAAGAATTAGCCCTTACAACAACAATACCAGGAAGGATTGACTACGAGAATGATTGGATCGTAGACTCGGGCTGCTTAAATCATATGATGGGTGATAGACAAAAGTTGCAAAATCTGTCTGAATACAAGGGAAATCGTGTGGTGGTAACAGCCGACAACTTAAGGTTACCGATAACACACATCGGTAAAACAATAGTTACACCTCGGTATAATCCTAACCAGGCATAACTTCAAGATGTCTACCATGTTCCAGGAATGAAGATAAATTTCCTATATGTGGCTCAATTGACATCATTAGGCCACTATGTCCTATCTGGGTCGCAAGATGTGAAGGTTTTTTGAAACCTCAAGATCTCAAAAAAGCCAACAATGGAGGGACGACGATTGGAGTCAGTTTACGTGATGTCAGCAGAGTCTGCATACGTAGACAAGACAAGAAGGAACGAGACAGTAGACTTGTGGCACATGCGGCTGGGACACGTTAGCTATTCCAAGCTAAGCGTGATGATAAAGAAGTCAATGTTGAAGGGGCTTCCTCAACTTGACGTGCGAACAGACACGGTCTATGCAGAATGCTAGTATGGTAAAGCACACCAATTGCCATACGAGGAATAGAAGTTTAAAGCAAAAGAACCATTGGAATTAGTTCACTCTAATGTATTCGGGCCCGTTAAGCAACCATCAATTGGCGGTATACGGTACATGGTGACATTCATTGATGACTTTTCAAGGTATGTGTGGGTTTTCTTTATGAAAGAAAAATCTGACACATTCTCAAAGCTTAAAGAGTTCAGAGAGTTAACTGAAGGAGAAGTGGGAAAGAAGATTCGTTGCTTGCTCACAGACAACGGGGGAGAATATAGCTCAAGCGAGTTCTCTCAATACCTAAGGAATGCCGAATACGTCATCAATACGCTTGTGCCAACATGCCACAACAGAATGGTGTAGCGGAGAGAAAGAATCAACATCTTGCATAAATTTGTCGGAGTATGCTACATGAAAAGAATGTACTTGGAAGGTTTTGGGCTGAAGCAATGAGGACTGCAGCCTTTGTGATCAACATACTTCCTTAACCGAGGTTAGGATTTGTTTCACCCTTTGAGAAACTGTGGAACATGAAACCTACAGTTAGCTACTTTCGAGTATTTGGCTGTGTATGTTATGTATTTGTTCCTGATTATTTACAGAGCAAATTTGACAAGAAAGCTGTTAGATGTATCTTTGTGGGATACGACAGCCAGAGAAAGGGGCGGAAATGTTGTGATCCAACGAGTAGAAGATGCTACACTTCACGAGATGTGGTGTTCGATGAAGCATCTTCTTGGTGGTCCTCAGAGAAGGAGGTGTTGCCAGACTTAAGAGAATTTGAAGACAAGCTGCAACAAAAGATGGGGGAGCATACTGTTCAACTTCAACCAAGTTCAAATGAATTAGAAGATCCAAATGGCGACAATGTCAAACAAAGAGTGACTCATAATCCTTGGCAAACCGGCGTATATCAACAACTAAACGAAGACGGTGGGCCTAGTGAAACGAAAGAATCAACTCCACAATCTCAACTCCGAAGGTCAACAAGAACACGAAGGCCAAATCCCAAATACGCCAATGCAGCCATAGTTGAAGAAGCAATTGATAATAGAACCTGAGACGTCGAAGAAGCATCGCAAAGTTCTGAGGGGGTGACAGCTATGAAAGAAGAGATCGATGCACTTTAGCAAAATCAGACTTGGGATCTGGTGCCAAAGCCGAGATGTGAAACCCATATCCTGTAAGTGGGTTTATAAGATAAAACGTTGTCCAGATGGGTAATTGAGACGTACAAGGCACGATTGGTAGCTCATGGTTTCGCTCAACAATATGGACTAGACTATGATGAAACGTTTAGTCCAGTGGCGAAACTTACAACGTACGAGTCTACTTGCACTTGCCGCCAACAAAGACTGGAATTTGTGGGCAGATGTGTGAAGAATGCTTTTCTTCACGGAGAGCTAGATCGAGAGATCTACTGATCCAACCAATGGGTTTTCAGAGCCAAGATCATCCTGAATATGTGGTAAGCTGTGGAAAGCACTTTACGAGTTGAAACAAGCACCCAAGGCGTGGTATGGTAAGATTGCTAAATTTCTAACACAAAGTGGTTATTCAGTAACACCTGCAGATTCGAGCTTGTTGTCAAAGCCAATAAAGGAAAGATAGCTATCGTGCTAGTGTACGTAGATGATTTAATCATAACCGGTGATGATGAGGCAGAAATTTTCGGACGAAGGAGAATTTATCAATTCGTTTCCAGATGAAGGAACTTGGACAACTGCAACACTTCGGTCTAAGGAGATCGCACACAGAAGGAATATTTCTTTGTCAGCAGAAATATTCCAAAAGATTGAAGAGGTTCGGAATGCTTGAATGCAAGTCGATTTCGACGCCAATGGAACCAAATGCCAAATGTGTGCACATGAAGGAAAAGATTGGAAGATGCGACAATGTATAAAAATGGTAGGCAGTCTAATCTACTTAACCTTGACTCGACCTGACATTCTTATGCAGTTAATGTGATGAGCCGGTACATGCAAAATCCAAAGAAGCCTCATCTGGAAGCAGTTCGACGAATACTGAGATATGTGAAGAGTACAATTGACTATGGTCTTTTGTACAAGAAAGGTGAAGACTGCAAGTTAGTTGGTTACTGCGATGCTGACTATGCAGGAGATCATGACACTAGGAGATCAACAACTGGGTATGTGGTAAGCTTGGTTTGGAACAATTCTTGGTGCAGCAAGAGACAGCCGATGATATCATTATCAACTACTGAAGCTGAGTTCGAGCAGCGACATGGCAGCTCAAGAGAGTACATGGTTGATATAGTAATGAATAATCTACATCAACAAGTAGATTATGTAGTTCCGTATACTGGACAATCAGTCAATTTTTGGCAGAGAATCCAGTCTTTCATGCAGAACTAAGCATGTTGAAGTGCACTATCATTTTATCAGAGAAAAGGTTTGCAAGAAGAAATGATAGGAGACAAATCAAGACAGATGATCAAGTTGCGGACTTGTTCACAAAAGGCTTGAGCATTGGCAAATTCGAAATGTTTCGTTGTCAACTTGGCACAATGAAAATAGTGAGAGTGGTGTTGAGAGGGAGTGTTGAAGATCAACCCAACCCATTTCAGAACAACCAAAATTTGATTTCAACCTAAGAAAATAAAAGCCCAATCCATTTTATCTTAGTCCAAAACAGTAGAAGCTTTAAACAAATGTGGAAGAAAAATATTTTTAGAGAAAATTGTAGAAGGATATAGAAAATAATTTTTAGGAGAAGTATGTAGAATGTGATAATAATGTGTGGTTAGAATTATTTCTATTTTTATTTATGTGGTGTAGATGCATGGTGAGGACTATAAATACCCTCCCTTGCATTTGGGTTAGGTATCCTCCAAAATAAAGTCTTTGTATTCTTAGTTTGAGTGGTGGTTTTGAGTGTGAGTTGTGAGCTTATTTTGAGTGTTTGTATTTCTCTTCAAATTGTGAGGGGTTTTTGAAAAGTGTTGTAGTATTTTTTATTGTGGGTAAATACAAGTAATTTGGTTACTTGTTTGGGTCCAACTTAGTAAGTTTAGAGTTGGTACTCTAAATTTAACTCAACAGAGATCAGCATTCAAAATGGGAAGGCAAAAAATACAAGAAAAGTTATGAACATCAATGATACAAACTTATTGTGATCCAGAGCTCCTGTAAGTTGAGAAGAGTTTAAGAATTTTGAGAGTAGCCTTGGTCTGATCATGATCATTGAAACCTCAGAGAGACAAAGAGCCTCAAATGGTTGGCTGCAGTAAAAGGAGGGTCTAATACATCTCGCAAGAGAAATCTGAGATCAAGTGCACAAAAAATCTAAAGAGTAAGATTATGTATGATATATGTTTGTAAAAGATAAAGCAATTAATATAAGAGGAAATACAGATACTGCAATTATTTAGGAATTACCTCTTTTTTTGGCAAAATTCCGAAGTTTGAGGTTCAGCTCTTAGTTACTTACCTTAAGGAAAAACCAGAAATTTAAGTCTCTTCAGACTGGATAGTTGACTGAGATAGTGGACAATGTAAATCGTTCCTTGATCTGATAATTAATGTGGTAAACTCATCTGAAGTCATGATGAGGCGATCTCTACAAGGACTAGACAATTAATAAGAAGATAGCCCCCAATGTTCCTTGGAGAACTAAGTGTTTGAGTTTGGGTCAGGATACTGAAACAAGCTAATTTTGAGACCTTTAAGCACCAATCTCTGTAGAACAGGGCAGTTGCCGATCAAGTTTTCCAGCAATTGAATATCATTAAGCTTCCCATGACGTTGGAGTGACCGATTTCTGAAACCTTTATAAGCACAAAGAGGTTTGGTAATCCATATTGACGGAGTTGCAAATGGGTCAGATGTTCACAGACCATATGCAAGCCGGTAACTTAATAAGTTTGCATTATTTTTGCAGTGCAACCATACTCAAGAGTGAGTTCCCTGATACCGTTTCTTGCAAGATAATGTATCCAAGTCGAAGATCGGAGTACTTTTCTAAGCTGGTGTTGCAAACTTAAAGTGTGTGTATTGCCACAATGAGATAGCAGAACATGATAAACGAGTATTCGACACCTCTTGTATTTGGACGAGTCCAAAGGGCACGGTTAGAGGCCACATCAAAGACCAGCTTTGAAAGGTTAACCCATTTATATCTCCACTGTCTACACAGTATTGTTCTCACAGCCTCCATCTGTAGACGCCCAAGGATATTGTCCAAAATGCCCATGGCAATTCGCTAAGTCTATCGATGTGTGAAGCTCACCTTTGAGTGATCATGGTGGCTTTGTCTTGAGTACTCATGGATCTACACATTGTGAGTACCACATTTTTTCTAGATATGGACAGAGAACTATCACAAAGGAAATTCTTAGCAAGCATAAGGCCACATTTGACATAATCACAGCTTGAACTTCAGAGAAAAAAAAAAACCTGAGAAATCATAAATTTTTCAGTGGCATTCAGAAGGCAATATTATTCTTCAAATTATTATTAATCCATTTGTCTTTTTGCAAGATATGAAAAGCATCCACCACAGAGAAAAACACCAGGGAACAAGAATGAGATCCTAGCAATTAGCATTATGATTTAGTAGACAAACAAAATTTAGAGAACTACATCTCTTTCACATCAAAGTGGTGGAGGGTTTTGTTAAAATAACAACCCTAGAGACAAAAACACTAATAATAATAATAATATTAAAAAAAAAAAAAACCATATATGAGGTGAAAACTGTTAAGATATAGAGTAAATTCAATTCAAATTAGTATTGTATCAAAACATGTGTTTTTCTAATATGTTTAGGATTGGTTCTTTATGAATACAAGAATATAATTGCATTAGAATTAAAATAAAAATTCTAAGAGATTTGAGTCCTTAAGAATAGTATTCATGCATTACCTATAAAAATAGGTTAATTCTAGGTAAATGAATACAATAAAAGACAAGACCATAATTAGAGAGGTGAGACCCACTAAAGTGAGGTTCAATAAGAAAGCCATATTTTTTATAGTGAAATTTCGCAACGGTAAAATAGATGTAACTTATATGGTGAGTAAGTCATTAAAATCTTGTGTTTGTGTATGTGTTGTTATTTGTATTTTGTCGCTATATTTGCTTTGTATAAGATTTGCTAGCTTTTGATCAAATCCCCACAACAAAAACTAACCCCCAATTTATCATGAAGAAAACTCTTCCCCTTATCTTTGGAAACACCCAATATCACCCCCATTTTTGAATTTAAACATTAAAGCTTAACTGTTTTGAGACAAAAAACCTCTGTTGACAAGATTTCTCTTTCACGGTCTAAGTTATAGCACTTGAATTCGAAAGATGGGATAATATTGGGTGTTTTCGAACTAAAAGCATAAAATTGTCTTTGTAGATAGATTGGTGGTAAAAATGTCATTCAACCTTTATTTTATTATGTGTATCCGAATATTAGAAATGTGTTTCGCTTTGTAATGGGTTTTTTAGGGGTAAATTAGGTAGAATATTTAAATTAAAGAAAACCCTAATGATATTCTATTTAGTATTTTTTTTTTCAATCGAATCAAAGAAAAGAAAAGTTACCCATAAAGAAGTGAAAGGTTAGAGTATAGTTTTCAAGAGATATGAACTCTAGGATTTCATGTTTAATTATTTCTTAATTTCTTATTTACTCCCTCTGTTTCTCTTTGAAAGTCGTTTTAGCCTTTAAATTTGTTCCAAATAAATGTGTTTGGCCAAATGCAACACTCTCTCTTTTCTCGAAGTATACCCTGTCTCCTTCTCTCTCTCTCTCTCACCCCTCCTCTTCTCTCTCTCTCTCTCTCTCTCTTCTCTTTTCTTTAAAACCATTTATTTTCTATCAATCATCATTGTCATTTCCCACGCACTTTGAGCAAAGAAAAAATTTTACATTAAAAAATTAATTTATTAAAAAGCATGCAATAACTAAAACGACTTTTAAAGAGAAATGGAGAGAGTATTTTTTTGTAAATATTTGGTTGTTGATAATGTTTTGATTTGGAAAATCGATTTATTATAACCATTATTCGTTATTTTGATACCAAATATGTATAGAATTATTTTATAAAGATTTTTTTTTCTTTCTAAAGTAGTACCATTATTTAAAGAGACATATTGAGGTATTCTTGACCTTAACATCTAATTATATATATTTGTCAAGAAAATAATGAATAATAATTGTAATGATACAACTTCCAGATCAAAATATCATTAACGACCAAATATTTTGACAAAAAAAATAAATAAATTAAAGAATAAATTAACACCTTAGGCCATATTTGGTTTGTGGATTAGAAATGAATGGAATGAAAGTATTATGAATGGAAATTAATGAAATGAAAATATTATGAATGAATAGAACGGATTACCTTGATAAGTCCATTATTATTGGATGAAAATACCCTCATTTTTATTTGAAAAGCAATTTATTTTATAATAAGTATAAAATTTATTTTATTTAAATAAAAATATTTCAAAGTTTTAAAAATCTGAAATTTTTTCTTAATGTTAAATTGCAAAATTGAAATTCTCAAACCGGCTAATGTGATAAAATTCACAGATAAAGACTTTTTAACATGATAGGGCGTCAATGCCAACACATGGCAAACAAGGGCTAGCGATTTACAATTGGGCAAATTGAGATTGCATACCACTGGTGATATGATATCACCCGAGATAGCCGTCGATCGTAGCCATCACAAGTGACATCACCTCACAGTGGTATGCGGTTGCGATTGCCTAGATTGGTAGATCGCCAACCATGTTTTCCACACACAAGAGGCGACACTCTAACATGTTGAAAAGTGTCGTCCAGTGACGACAGCGTGGCCGGCAAAAATACTAACAATAACAACAATACTATACTGGTGTTAGAGATAAAACAGTGAATAACTTTAAATTTTAATTGTTAATATTTTAATAATTTAAATTTAAATAAATATATTAGGGGTAAAATGAGAAATCAAATTTAAAACAAGGATAAAGGGACATTTTAACATCTATTATAATATCCTTATAAATGGAATGCCAATATGAACTTTTTAAGGGATCATGATGAGTTCCAAATTTCTAATATGGAATGTCAACTTACGCGTAACTCAACTAATTCTTTTGAGATTTGGATTATTGGTTAGATAAAAGCTTTAATGAACACCTCTATTAGCAATCGAGATAAATCGAATTTAAAGCTTTTTAAGAATAAACCAAGAGTTCGTCCATTAAAATTTCTAACACGATAACTCATATATAAAAGACAGAGGAGAGCCTTAGGAAAAGAGGCTCAGAAAATTGGATTTGGGCTATAGATTGGTTTCTTGAAAGGCGACTGGGCTACAATTATTTGATCATCAGCTGTGTGATGCAGATGGTTCACATTTAAATGCCTTTTTCAGGATTGGGCAAAAAGTGTTAAAAGACTTTTGGCACTTGGGATCCTGGATGAGGCTCCATTATATTATAGCCACATATTTGCAAGAGCAGATAAGAAATGATCATTAATCATTAATCAACCAGTGGAAGTGATGGCGACCACCATCACCATGCATTGCATTCAACACAGGAACTACCGACAAAATAATACACCGTTATTCCTTATCCTCTTCTCTCCTTACTGGGTTGCCACATTTTGAATATACATTACACATGAGAAATTTCTAATTCACGTCACTTGGGATTCTTTGGAAACCTCCCTCCGCCTCCCCACTTCGACAATTATCCAACTGCATTAATATGCAAAAATAACTACCCTTAAGTGTATCGGTAAAAACTCTTAAATATTATTTGAGAAATCTTAAGTTCGAGTCTTTTATCAATTTCTTATAGGGTAATCATAAAGTTCTTTTTCTATTGATAATTTAAAATCAAGAGATTAATTGAAGTGCGTATAAGTTAGTCCAAACACCCCCTTAAAAAAAAAAATTTGTTTTGCAAAAAATCATAAACTGAATACTTATTAATTGTTGTATGCCAAACATTATATACACTTTGTTGGGGTTCATTAATTAGATATATATATATAAATATAATATATATTATATATATATTATATATATATATATAATATATATATATATATAAGTGGGTTAATCTCGTTTTTCTTTTTACCATACCGTTTACAATGAAACTTATCCATTTGTTTGAAGTATTAAAATCTTTATCATAACCTTTTTTTTTTTTTTAAATAATATTATAAGGGAGTGTTTCAGATTTTTAAGGGGTTTTTAATAATGATAAAAGATTTTTAATATTTGCTAAATAAAACTAATGAATTTAATACTAAACTATTTCATCAAAAAAGGTGAAATGATTTTTTTTTTTTTTTTTATAAGTGTTTTTCATATCTTGCTTTACTAGTAGTTTAGAAAGACAAAATAAAAATTTTATAATTTATTAGAAAATAAGTTTTTTGAGCTAATTTATGCATACCTCAATTAATTCTTTAGAACCTTAAAACTATCAATCGGATAAAAGTTCTAATGATTACTTTTATTAACAAATGATTAAGTTGATGAATTGTATCGCTATAAGACATTTTATTGTAATAATACAACATATAATAAATAATAATTTAGAATAAATATCTTTTTTTTGTTTTTATTATTAGTTGCTGGGGCTGGGCTGGCCCGCCTGGCCAAGAAGATGCTGATTGATGACTTTAACACCAATTGAGATTAGCACACAAGCTTGTGGAGGAGAAGATGCATCCTCATCTAGTCAATTCCTACGTGTTAATATTTTATTGGGTCAAAAAAATTCATTTTAACTTTTATGAAATATTTCCACGTCACCATTTCTCTCACAAATCTTACTCTCATATTTGTGGCACTCATCAACTCACGTCTTCTCCGATTCCAACCAAATTCTTTTTCAATAATTCCAATTAAATCCTATTTATAAAAACCATTTTATCAACTCTTTCTGCATTTTCTAATCTAAGAAAAGTAAAATAAAAAATATATATACAATTTATAAGAGAAACTCAATTTAAGGTCTTTTTTCAACTTAAACAAAGTATTAAAATTTCAAAAATATCTTTATTATGTTTTATAAATTTAATTTGATTTATTCATAAGATAAATTAAAACTAGAAAGTTGTTTTTATATTTTTTTAATTAAACAATTAATAATTTTTTTATACGCTCTACTTTAGTAAATTCCTCTATATACAGTAGCAATTCACTATAATATGGCCCACGAACAAGAAGCCTGACACAAGCCCACGTGTACCAGAAGAATTCCACGTGGACATTCAGAATCCGACCAGTCCACGTGGACGCAAAAGGAGCGAGTACAGGTACGCAAATGCCAGTCCTGAGACTACGCCAACCAAAGTAAAAAAACTTTCCCTAACACTAAAAAATATTCCAAAAGCCAAAGCATGTGGGCCCTCTCTAGAACATCAGCCAACCACAAGATAACGTAATACCTTTTTCAGACCAGTAACTTCCCGCCACGTGGGCGCCCCAGATTCTCTCCCTCCTCCTTACAGTTACACCCCCCTCACCTCTTCACTCCCCAAACCTCAAACTCAAACTCAAACTCCACACTCGAAGAAGAAGAAAGAAAGAAAAAAAAAAAAAATCAAAACTCTCACTCTAACGAAATGATGAAAGAAGAGAGTAACAACGACGGCGGTGGGAACAGCTGGGCACGTGTGTGCGACACGTGCAGGGCGGCGGCTTGCACGGTGTACTGCAAAGCGGACATGGCGTACTTGTGTGCCGGGTGCGACGCACGTGTTCATGCGGCAAACCGCGTGGCGTCGAGGCATGAGCGGGTGTTTGTATGCGAGGCTTGTGAGCAAGCCCCGGCTGCGTTTTTGTGCAAGGCCGATGCGGCGTCGCTTTGCACTGCGTGTGATGCTGATATCCACTCAGCCAACCCGCTGGCGCGCCGTCACCAGCGTGTCCCCATTCTCGCCATCTCGGGCTCAACCTACGGGCCGCGGGCGAACGGGCCCACCGAGCAAGAACGGCTTTTTGGGCAGGATGGAGATGAGGATGACGATGACGATGACGATGAGGAAGAGGCGGCTTCTTGGTTGCTATTAAACAATCCAGCAACTGCAAGAAATGGTGGAAATAATAACAACAACAACAACAACAACAATAATAATGGGTTCTTGTTTGTTGGAGAGGTTGATGAGTATTTGGATCTTGTGGACTACAATGGCGAAACTCAGTATGTTGATCAGTATAATAATAATAATCAGCAGCAACAACAACAACAGTATAGTTTTGCTCAGAAGGGTTATGTGGGAGATAGTGTTGTGCCTCATGTTCAGTGTGAAGTCAAGGATCAGCAACAACATCATAATAATGATTTTCAGCTGGGATTGGATTATGAATCTTCAAAAGCTACCTACAGTTACAACGGTTCAATTAGTCACAGTGTAAGATTTTCTTTGCATTCACATAATTTTCTCTGTTCAATTCTCAACTTTGACAAGATACAAACGTATTCAAAGATTATCAGGATATTTCTTTTCTGCACTTTAGTAGCAACTTTTGCCCTTTCCTTTGCCTTTTTCTCTCTAAAGGGTGGAATCAATTGACATAATATTCTACCCTCTTGTTTTACTTTCCCTTTTGCTTCATACCATATGTATCTGAGTTTAAGCTATGAATCTAATTATGTTTTGTGTGATTATGTAATTTTAGGTCTCAATTTCATCCACGGATCTTGGTGTTGTGCCAGAATCAACAAGTGATATTTCCATCTCACATTCAAGACCTCCAAAAGGGACTATTGATCTCTTCTCAGGGCCTCCGATTCAAATGCCGCCCCAACTTACTCCAATGGACAGGGAGGCCAGAGTGCTTAGATATAGAGAGAAGAAGAAGAGCAGGAAGTTTGAGAAGACAATCAGGTATGCCTCAAGGAAGGCCTATGCTGAAACTAGACCCCGAATCAAGGGTCGATTCGCCAAGAGGACAGATGTCGAAGTTGAAGTGGATCAGGTGTTCTCCACAACATTATTGACAGAAACTGGATATGGGCTTGTTCCTTCATTCTAAATCCAGATCTTGTACTACTTCTGATATATTGTAGGTTTATATATTAATCTAATTGCTATTCAAGTAATGAGATATATGTTCTATAGTTTCAATAGCTTTGTTAAACATTTCTTGTAGTCTTCTTATCTTGTCACCATACTACTACATTCTTGTAAAAATGCATGTATATTTTTAGTTTAATTTGGAATTATTTTCTTTTGCAATTACAGACTTTGACTTGCAATATCTTTTTGTTTTTTTTTTTTTTTTTTTTTTCATTTCTGAAACTACAAATGTTGTGTTAGATGGAAAAGGAATCAAGAAATCAGAAGATGTAACCATAAAAAGTGAATGGTCTATATGTTAGTGATTTTGACCATTGACGATATTTACTTTTTTGGGAGAGGAAAAAGGAAGAAATTTCAGCCACAAGGTGGAGAATGATAAGAGGATCCAATGTTACACAGTATCCATGAATCCAAAAGCTCAATAATTTGCTACTTCTAGGCTCTAGCATTGCCTTTAAGAGGGTGTTTGGTTGGAATGTTTATCAGATTAATTGGGTAATGTCATCTTATATTACTTATAGTTAACGGTATTTTCCCACTCGAACAAAAGCTTAATGACACTTTCCCACCCTTACATTTTTAAAATAGCATTTTAGTACCCAAAGCACAATTTTATTAGTAATTTTTATTGTAAGGAAGGGTAAGATGGTTAAAAATCCGTAATAAGTGAGGGCAGAATAGTCAACAACCATTTTGCATATGAAATCAAAACTTAAAATTCCAGAAGACAGTGAACGGCGGCGATTCAAGACTGACGAATGACTCGTAATCAAATATCGGTGTTTGAGGGGTTTTGAACAGGGAAGATTGGAGGTTGAAAGTGTGGTGGAAGATTGAATTTTGGTCGCAAGAATCAGGCGGAATCGGCACAAAAAAAGTGAAACCCTAGGTGGTGGGGAGCGAGAACGGCGTGTAATTGGCACTAGGAAGGTTAAGGGTTTTGGAGATGGGGGGTCGATGAGTTGATTGGTGGTCTCAAAAGGGATTTCTGACGTCATAATTTACCAGAAAAGGGAAAGAATCATGCAAACCAACAGTGTGTTGTTCTAGTCGATTTCGTTACCGAAAATCATTCCTGTCACCTCCAATTGACTCTTTGGATCTTCCTCTCCAAAGGCCCCAACGTGTCACCACAAATCATCCTTGTCTTGCGCGCATGCTTGGCTGGAGAGGCTATTGAGGAATTTCCTCAAACAGCTGGTGGGCTTGAAATGGGGAGGCAGTTGTGGGCAGGTGGGGGCAAACCGGTGGCCAAATAATACACAACAACCACAATTAAGCAACCAAGTGTAGGTTGGAGGCACAAGAGGGTAGAAAAAATGGTGAAAAATGGTGGAAAAGGGGCGCAAAAGCAGTTGTAGCACGATGCAGAGAGTGGGTTGAGGGCGGCAAACAGTGAGTGAGGTCAGCCGATATGAGGGTTGGTTTTGTAGTAGGGATGAAGTGGGTTTGAGTGGTGGCTTCGGGGTATATTTTTAGTTAGAAAAACAGTTGGAAATTGGCTGCAAAGGAGGGAGAAAGCGCAAACCACAAAGAGGCTATTTTTCAGTGAATAGAGGGCGTAGAGGGGTTTTTTTTTGTTTTTTTTTTTCTTAAATGACTGTATTTCCCACCTAAACCAATGAGAAACATAATATTTGAGTAGTAAATGTGTATTTTAAAAGTCTGAGGGTGGGAAAGTGTCACTAAGCTTTTTTTTGGGTGGGAAAAATTCGTTAACTCCTACTTGTATAGTAAAACCTCTTTATAGTTATAATGGTAGGATCAAACATATTTATTACTATAAGGAGGTTAAAACTTAATAAAGACGTAGTTACAAAAATTATTGTTTCGATTTCTTATTTTATAATTCACATTTTAGTAATGTGTATTAGGATTTCAATTCATTGTTTTAGTAATCATTGCTACAATTAGACAAAAAGATAAAAGAAATAATCATGAGGATGATAGTATGGATATGCAAAAGGTTTCGTGCTAAGAAGCTTTAAATATGCTTGAGAAGTTAGAAATATTTTGGCTTCAACAAGAAGGTGTCCATGCTAGCGAATTATACATACCCGCAAGTTAAAATATATGGTAACAACTCTTAAATCATTGTCCCAAACAAGTTTAGATAAATATTTTATTTCATCTTAAACCTTTAATGTAACATAACATATATATTTTTGCAATATACATATAATTATTACTATATAGAGATAATTTTCTTAAGACGAGAATTAGAAAAATTATAACTTATTACAATGTATAGTTTATTCTTATTTATAACCATCCCAAGTTGGGACTAGAATTTTTATGATTATATAAAGGTTATTCCTATATAGAGTATCAGTATAGATATGTTTTACTGTATTACCATGTTTGGTTATAAAGTAATATAATATTTCGGTAATCTTCCAAAACCAATAGTAATTACTGTTGGTTATATAGGTTGTAATCTGAATACCACTATTTTCTTAGGTAATTTAAAATTACTTGGTAATCTTAATTTTGTTATAATTTTACCCCTAAGGGTGTGTTTGGTAGGAGGAATATTTTATTACTAAAAAGATATGATTACTAGTGAGATAAATTACCTTGAAGATTATGAGAGAATATTATATCAATATGTTTGGTTAAATTGGTGGGTTTAGATAATTAAAATGTTTGGTTGGGAAGAATAAAATATTATCAATAGAGGCTTTTACTGAATTACCCTTCCTTTTTAATATTAATATTATTATTATTATTATTATTATTATTATTATTATTATTATTATAGATTACTTTTAACCCCCTACATTTGAGAATTTAGCTAAAACACCCCAAAAACAAAAGTTTAAATTTTAACAAAACACTCCTAGCCACTACAGACGACTACCGGCCACCACCGCCAGATTTGGCCGTTTTCGACCTTCGATTTGGCTAAAAATAGCCATATCGACACACAGTCAGCCAAATCAGACCGGTCGTGCGTTATTCCAGCGGCGACCAATGGTCATTTGTAGTGGCTAACTAATTTTGGGTGGTATTCATATAAATAGTGAAGGGTTTATGTCCAAAAAAATAATTTATGAGGTTATAGAAGTCATTTTGCATAGTTGGGCTAATTGTTATTTGGTAGACATATGTGAGCATTTGTGTCCGAAATGTTTTTTAATTAAGGATAAAATTGGTATGAATAGTAGATTACCCCGGTAATCTTTTAATAACACCCTCTGAGACGGTAATCTGATTCCTATATCACCTAGAGTAAACACTATTGGCTTTGCAATATTACTGAAATTTTTTATTATTTGATAACCAAATATGGGAATGTCTGGAATAAAATATAGATTATCCGAGTTATTTTCCTATAGCCCTAACCAAATGCACCCTAACTATTAAAATTTTTGGACAATAATACCCTAAAAATATGCATGAACTATTTTATCCTTATATATAAAATTTTTAGGATATAAATACCCTTGAACTTGAAAGCAATTACCTAAGACTGGTGGTCGGATCTAGTCACCATCGCCGGTAGTCGAAATGACGCACGACTGACCAGATCTAGCCGTTTCCTTTTTTAATTCTTTTACCTTAGTCATTTCTTCACAAATATCTTGCTGAAGATTCCTTCTACACATTACTCATAGGATGTCCAAATATGCTAAAGAGAAAGGAAACATGAGCGACACTTTTAATGACGATTTCATGGATGACATAAAAATAGAAGCATCAGATTCCAAAAGTGAGACTATAATTCCCCAATAATACCACATGTAGATAGAAACTATCAGTACAAGTAACTGCTTCAATGATCCATGATAGAATAAGCAACAGATAGAGAAGGATTGTATCATTTTTGTTGGAGTTTTTGACTACTTCAACATTATTGGGTTATGCAGATGCATTCGGGGGTCTTACTGATCGGTCAGCGGGCAGATGCCCCTCTCTCCGATGAGAAAGTACATTGAGGAGGTGTTGCAAATTGTGGTTACGACAGAGAAAGTACATTGAGGAGGTGTTGAAGAAATTCAACATGGCAGATTGCAAACCTGTGAAGACTCCTATGACTTTGGGAGTGAAATTGTCTACTGATCAATGCCCTAAGGTTGAGGAAGATGCTGAAGAAATGAGACATGTGCCATATGCTAGTGTTGTAGGTAGTTTGATGTATGCCATGGTGTGCACGAGACCTGATATTGCACAAGCAGTGGGAGTTTTAAGTCATTTTATGTTAAATCTAGTAAGGAGCATTGGAGTGCTATAAAGAGGGTTCTTAGATATCTACGTGGGACCTCTGATTTAGCATTATGTTATGGGGGCATGGTGACTGGGTATGAGCTAGATGTGATAGGTTTTGTGGATGCTGATTGGGGAGGTGATCTCGATAGTAGGTGTTCTACAAGTGGGTATGTATTCACTCTATTTGGTGCTGCTGTTTGTTGGATGAGTAAAAGGCAAAATATTGTGGCTTTGTCATCGATTGAGGCAGAATACATGGCATTGACACATGCTAGCAAGGAAGCTATGTGGCTTCGAAGATTGAGTTTAGAGTTTGGTTTCAAGCTTGATGTTACGAAGATAGGGTGTGACAATCAAGGGGCTATTTACTTAGCCAAGAACCCTGCCTTTCATTCGCAATAAAAACACATTGACATACAATACCATTTCATCAGGTAAAAGGTGGAGAAAAAATTGGTGTCGTTAGAGAAGGTTGATACACTTGTTAATGCTGCAGATTTTCTTACCAAGGCTGTGAGCTTAGCAAAGTTTACATGGTGTGTTGATGAGGTAGGCCTTCATTGTGTGAAGTATTCGCCAAGTGGGAAAATGTTGGAGTTGTCGACTACTTCAGCATTATTGGGTTACGCAGACGCATTCGGGGGTCCCATTGTGTAGCCGCTATAAGATTTCCATGTATAGCTATTGTAGGATTTTTTTAAGTTATTAATTCTTTATTGGGTTGGGCTTAGGAATAAGAATCCTTGTAAAACTAGGTTTTGCCACTTAAACCCAGTATATAAACGTATTTTTCTCTTGTTATGAGTGTGATAGTAAATCATAGAGCAATTTCATTCATTGTAAACGAGAGAGAGGTGAGGAAATATTTCAATAATATTGACTTAGCTGGACGTAGCCTATATTGGATGAACCAAGGTAAATCGCACGTGTTATTTTCTCTGTGTTTATTATC